ATAATTGCTGTAGATGAATCCATGGTTCCATTCAGAGGCAGACTGATGTTCGGATAAAAATATGTAAATTGTGCACCGAATCCGAATTTACTTGGAGATACAAAATATATTCTGGAGAAGACAGAGTTATACAAGGACTTGAAAAACCAGGCTCGATAGTCGTTACTTTTGCTCAAGGTTTATTGGATGAAGGCCGACTATTAGTTACTGATAATTACTATTCAAGCCTTCCAATGGCTAGATATTTGAAAGAACAAAAGACGGATTTTTGCGGAATATTCCGCAAAAATAGAGATCTTCCGCAGGAAGCGCTTCCCTCAAAAAAGGAGAAATTGCTGCTAAGCAGAACAGTTTCGCAACGGTGTCGAAGTGGAAGAACCGGAGAGATGTGTTGGTTATGTCAACATACCACGATCATCAAATGGGGATGTCTACCGGTCACAAACCAACACTAAAACCAATCTTCTTGTAAACGTCGATTGATTTGAAATTGACGCGTTCGTAGTCGTCGCGCTCGTAGATACACTCGGAGTATTCGTACTCCAATCCGTCATACTGGTACCCGTAGTAACGTTACTTTCACTCGTAGTCTTTGACTGCACTGATTTTGATCTCGTATTTGTAGGCATCTTTCCAGTTTTTCTTCTTGAACCCAATCCGGCTTTTCGAAGGACCAATGTTGACGCTCGTGTGTGTGTGTGTGTGTGTTAATAGTGGAACGGGTTCGCTGGCGGGAAGTCGACTGGAGAGCATGCAGTAGCAGTAGGATGAGCAAATAATAACACTTCTTCAGAGTTTCTTCTATTTATTTTCTTGTTAAATTTTGCACACGGCACTAACGGATTGCACACGGCACTAATGAATTTCCGTCGACCAATCAGAGCGCAGGGCGACTTTTTCTATGGAAAACTTACAAATGTCTTTTATTTTGTGGTAAAACATCCCTTACAAAGTTTTTATACATTTCTGGTATTAGAACTAACTTATATTTATCATATTACACATTAAACATTGTTATAAACCTTAATTTATGCCTTAAAATAATGAAAATACTGACGCGGTCCTCTTACGGTATAGCGCCCTAGTAGCTAAGCTTTTTGTCGGCGTTAGCGCACGTAGCGCATCGTGATATCATGATAACAATATCACGCTTGCTAATCAGAATACACTTAAACATTTTATCGACTAAATCATAGTTCTAATTTATAATAGAAAACGAAATTAAACAAGTTATTAAAATCACGTATCGTCGCTATCTACTTTTTACGTAGTTTTAAATTACAATAAATGCAAAGTTAAATAAGTAATTAAATTCACATTTCGTTGCTAATACTCTTAACGTAGTTTTAGATTAAAATGAGAACAAAATTAAATAAGTAAATTCACATTTTGTTACTAACATTCTTTACCTAGTTTTAGATTATGATAAGAATAAAATTCATAAGTAATTGAATTCACATTTCGTCGCTAACAGTTGTATTCGCTCCGTAAACGTCGATGTTGCGTGCCGCTTGTGCCACGTTGCTGCTACGACGATGCACATATTCCATAATTACTCAAATTTTAACGTATCCATGATGACGAAAACGATTCAAATGCGATGAAAACAACGCTAATCAATAAACAAATTAATGACTAATTTTGAAAAAAGAATTCAATTTTCTTAAAACAAACTTATTTTGAATTTATACTTAGAATACTTAGCCAAACAAAAATTATTCAGATTTGAAATGGCCGGTACTACAATTTCATAGGTAAAGACCTAATGTAATAGTATTTTATGTAAGAAACAATTTTAATACCTACCTTTAACAAAATGAGTAATGTCCATAATTATTAACATGCACAATAGATCTTAACTTCCTGTTCTAATATACAGTCTTTGGACATGGTCGTTGGACCTACGAATAATTGTTCCGGGTCTGGATGTTTTTCCTTGTTCAATTTATGTTTTTTATGTGAGAGGTGGCAAACGAGCATGCGGTTCACCTGTTGGTAGGTGACTTCCGGTGCCCATGAACAACTGTAACACCAGAGGAAATGCAGATGCATTGCCGGCCTATTAAAAAAGAGTAGGCTCTTTTCTTAAAGGTCCCTAAGACGTATCGGTCCATAAAAATCGCTGGTGGTAGTCGATTCCGCAAAGAAGTTGTGCGAGGAAAAAACTTCTTGTAAATAGCACAGTAGTAGGCCGCCAACCATCCAGGTGGTAAGGATGGTATCTCAAGTTCTGTCGCGATGTCCGATGGTGGAACTGAGCGGCTGGCATCAATTCGAACAACTCTTATGGTCACTCCCCGTGGTAAATACGATAGAATACGCAAATAAATGCAACAAGTTTTCGCAGCGCCAATGAGTCAAGTCAATCAGGAAGTGCTCCGTCGCCGACGATTCGAACCGCTTAGCGCTGAATGCGGTCAAATGGAAGGAGCTGGCAGTGGGAAGTCTCCGCTCAGAGATGTGAACAGTATTTAATGTGAGGTCGTTCGGTGTCGGTCCTTCTCTTTCAAGTAATCACGAAACTGCACGTCATTCGATATATCGACGCCGAGGATTTCAATACTGGCTGAGGCCACAAGGGGAGTTCCCTGAAACTGAGGAGATACGACAAAGGGGTTCTTTTTAGCGGTAAACGCGAACTTTTGTCTTCTGGGGAATGATTTGGACTAGATTTAGTCGCCCTTAATCCGAGACTTTGTTCAACAATGTCTCGACTTCAGACACACTCCGGTACTCGAAGACGTTTTTCTGAGAAATATTGGCACGACCGATGTATGAAGCATCACCAGTGCTGTCGTTCGCATAGCATTGAATGTTACCAGTTTGTAACATATCATTGATATTGTAACGCTCCCGCCTCTCTTATATTTATATTTATTACATATATATTTCCCCTTTATATATAAAATTATACATATCGCTTCCCGGCAAAAAAGTGTCACATTACAGAATAGTTACGTTTTGACATCTTTGTACCATTAAAACGGCAAAAATTTTATACATCTGGCAATAAAATATTATATATTATATTATATATATTTAGATATATTTATATAATATATATTATATTATATATATATATATTATATTATATATATTAGAGAGATGGCACAAAGTTCTCTTTTTCACTAAGCCGTTTCGCTCACTTTAAGCGGGCTACATACAACACGATATCGGTGGCGATCTAGGGTGGAGTAGTGGGGATGCCTCCTAGATTGCCTCTAAATCGTGTCGTATGTAGGGCCATCCTAAGTCGTGGCCGATATCGCCTCCTTAATTGGCTGGCAGGAGCAAAAATGCTTCCTAGATCAGCCGATGCTTCCTATATCGGGGCACCGCCCCCTCCTTACTGCGTGTGTGTAGGCGCATCGGCCCGATTTCTTTTGGCAGTCGCTGCCGGCAACCCTCGCGGAAGGAAGTTAACAAAACAGTGATACTGAATGACCTTTTTTATATAACAAAATTTTTACATTTTAATCATATAAACGGAGTAGAAGCCTATGGCACTGATATTTTACAAAAAAACCAAAAAAAAGTGAATAAAATAAATAAATTAATTGAAATTTTATCGAAATTCAAATCATATCCACCCTAGCCTGTGACCCTGCGAAGTGACATGGTCAAGAATGCCTACTAAACTAATTTTTTTATTGCCGTTCGTAAAGTAGAGTGTATGATGTAAGGAGAAGATAAAGCCTCTCCTCAACAACTAACTCCTATTCCAACGCTGTCAACACAAGACCGCACTCATATCTCTTACAACTCCACAAGACCACACTTCGATCTCTTACGTGCCTTCATCCTCTTATCAACAACTAACTTCTACTCCTTCACCATCTCCACATCAACAAACAAGTTATATAAAAGGGAGTATGTCCGAAATTAAAGGTTTCTTTATGTTTAAAAAAAGATATAAGCTATTTTATTTTCTGATAGTTTTACTCCATAAATAAAGATTACATTAAAAAAAAGTATACATATTATTATACAAAAGTATTTTATTTCCTTGTTTGTTGTGTGTAATACATAACCAGATTTTGACCAAAGCAGAAATGAACAAAGAGAAGAAATAACTAAATAGCATAGGTAGGAGAAATTGACGTTTTTATATAAGTGGCGAAATCATTTCTAGAAGGTTATAAAAACTGTCTTCATCCATCCGGAGAAAATTAATCACGTCTTGGATTACAGGCCATTTAGTACGTTTATGTGCCTTAATTTTTATCTCTTTTGGAGCCATTTTTTCACTCAGCAGCTTCTCTTTTTCTATTTTCGAATAAATTAACCGAGATGGCTAATGCCAAACCAACACGGTGGTGTTTTAAGAGAGTCGGAGGTATTTTGAAGAACTCTACCACATATGCATTCCGCTCCAAGTCCGAACGCGTACTGCTAGGCAGGCCCGTGTGTAAGGTCTACCCCGATAAAAGCCCCGATTTCTTTCCACCCTAGATCGCCACCGATATCGTGTCATATGTAGCCCGCTTTACCAGCGTGAACAGTGTCACAAGTGTGTTGGTACAGAGTAGACGTGCGTCGTGTTGCCAAAAAAGTGTATTAACGTGTGATGTGACTTTACATTGGTGAGTTTTGAAACTTAACTATATGATTAGTACTATAAAAAGTGTCACAAAATGTGTTATGACGGTTTTTTCGATGAAAAATTGTTGCAAAGTGGATGATATTTTACAGAAAATAGTATTATCTTGTGTAGATGCACTTTTGTAGGCTGCTTTTGGTCTTTATTCTGGTTTACAAGAATTAATAAAGACGTAACAATAGCTTTTTTCAGTAAAACATTGCAATGACCAGTAGTTTTATGTTGTATTAATTCTTTCTTTCTGTATAAATTAACGTTTTTTTTTAAATGCACGTAGCATATTTTATTTTATGTCTGTTTTTCGAAAAAAATATGATGACTTGTGGCTAATAGTTCACTTTTAATATATAATCAACCTTTACCAAAGCTAATTAAATTGTTCTTGTTTTTTTGGGTTGAAATGAATAATAAAAGTAGGGGTGCGTTTTTGTTAAAATTGGCGTGCAAAAAACACCAACAAGACATTTCTGATCAGACTACTGTTCAAAATACACCCATAGGAAGCGACGATTTAGTGAAAGGTACAGTACTTAATGGTTCCTTCAGTCACTTGAATTGATTTTATGTGGTTATTAGGGTCAATAGTGGGATTTCAATAAAAAATTAATTTCGTTTGATAACTAAATTCATTCATAAGAGCCGTGGTAGCTCAGATGTTTAACGCTCGCTGTAAATATAACAGAACGCGAGTAACCCGGGTTCGATCCCCGCTGGCCACCAATGAAATTGTTAATTGCAATTTTAAATGATGATTTACCACGTGCTCGACTCGAAAACATCGTGAGGAAACCTGCTTGTCAATAAGAAAAAAAATATTTCTAAAGCATGAAAAGTTCGCCAACACGCGTTGGGGCAGCGCGGTGGACACTTCCTTGCCCTAAAACCCTCTCAAAAATGAGGGAAGGTCTGTGCCCGGCAGAGGGACGTATATAGGCTGTAACTTTACTTTACCAAATTTCATTATTATTTAACTTCTACCTGGTTGCTTAAACTGATATTTCCAAGTGCGTCTGTTTATATTGTGTATGTTTTTACAGATGAATTGTATTTGAAACAACAAAATACCCTATGTGAAGGACCAATCACCGTAAATGTTAAACAATTTTCGTGTGAAGGTAAATTTGTACTGACCTAAACTGACCTATTTTAAATTCTAAGCTAATAAATAAACGTTGTCTTTTGTTTGTTTTAGATAGTGGTCATGCATCAGATAAGGAAAACATTTATTTTGGAGACAGTGACGACAGCGTCAAAGACCCAAATTTTGAAATCACAACGTGTGCTAATAAAAGCAGCAGCTCAGACGATAGTTCTGGTCGTCCAGCTGCAAAAAAGCGCGTTAGACGAGTATCTGAATTATCGAGCACGTCACAGCAAAAAAACTCAGCCTATTTCAAATACTGAAATTCCTGGACCAACCTGTTGCATAATAGAAAACTATAATCCTACTCCCTCTTCATCTAAAGGTGTTTCCCAACACAGAATGTCTACATCCTCTAGTTCATCCTCCTCAACTTCCAGTAGCAGCACTAGCAGCAGCCGCAGCAGTACTAGCAGCAGCAGAGCTAGTTCTCGATCAAAGGCCGATACTGTAGCCACTGCTTCTTTACCAGGTCAGGAAGCTACTTTTTTGCCTGTTCACCAAGATTACAACATAATTGAAAATAATGTTCCTCAGGTAGATGAGAGTCCAGTACGTAAATCTTATAAAAAACGTAAATCTCATGTTGATGAATGGTTTTCAAATAAGGCAAAAACACTGAGAAATACCGGTAAGCCTTATATTTCTCGTTCTAAATCAAAGAAAAATTTTTCTGCAAGGTATTTACAACCTCCGTGTGGGGAAAAATGCAAGTTGCAATGTACTAAAAAAGTAAATGAGGCCACCAGAACTAAAATATTTGAAAACTATTGGCGATTGGGAGACTTGTCTTTACAACGAAATTTTATTCATAAGCATATGAAACCCTCATTCCTGCATTAAGATTTTCTGCTAAAACTCAGCCTAGAAATGTCAATCACAGTTTTCATTTTGAAGTTGATGGACAAACTATACGAGTATGCAAAACGTTTTTCAGAGCTACGTTGGCTATTAATGATCGTGTCATTAGAACTGTAATTGACAAATCCAAAGATGGTTTCTTGCAACAAAATATGAGAGGGAAGCACAATAACCATAAAAAACTTGCGGAATCCATGCGACAGGGATTAAAAGATCATATTAACTCAATTCCTCGTATGAAATCTCACTACATACGAAAAAATTCTTCAAGGGAATATATCGATGGAGGAAAATCACTCAGTGATCTTTACAGAGATTATAAAGCTCTTTGCGAATCCAACAACACGTCTTATGGTAATGAAACTCTGTATTCAAGAATATTCAATTGTGAATTCAATATTAGTTTCTTTAAGCCAAAAAAAAGATAGGTGCGAATTATGTGTGCGATATGAGAATGCCGAAGGTAACGAGAAGAAAAACTTAGAAGTTGAATATTTTTAAAACATATTGAAGAAAAGAATGTATCCAGAAAAGAGAAAGACAACGATAAAAAAAAACTCCAATTCTGACACGATTGTTGCAGTTTACGATTTACAGGCTATTTTACAAGTACCGCGAGGAAACATATCTATATTTACTATCAATCCAAACTCAACACTTTTAACTTTACTGTATCACACATTGGTAATAATAACGACAAAACAGACTGTTTCTATTGGCATGAAGGAGAGGCTAATCGCGGTGCAGATGAAATAGGATCTTGCGTATTTAAATTTGTTCAAAATACACTGCTGGGTTATGATGGACCAGGACTTGAACTTATATTCTACTCCGACAACTGCTGCGGTCAGAATAAAAATCGATTTATAATTGCAATTTATTTGTTTGCTCTTGTAAAATTTCCTAAAATTAAATCGATAACACACAAGTACCTAATAAGAGGTCATACGCAAAATGAAGCCGACTCAGTTCATTCTACGATTGAGAAACAAATCCAGAAAAGGCTAAAGTCTGGTCCAATTTACGTACCCAGTCAGTATGTGGAAGCTATCAAATGCGCTAAGAAAAAGGGAAATCCCTACGCTGTGACAGAAATGTCATCGAGTGATTTTTATTCATTAAAGCGTCTTTCTGAGGATATTGGATTTACGACTGCAAAGTCCATCAAAATTTCTGAGCTGAGAATTTTTAAATTGTTGCAAGATTCTAGCTTGTTGTACAAAACATCATTTAAAGATGATCAGTTTTCTGAGATAATAATAACGCGAAAGAAAAATCTTAACCAGATTACACTCAAACATGCTTATAGATTTAAGCCAAAACTGAAAGAAATTAAACTAAAAGATCTCCAAAGTCTATTGCAAAATAATCACATCCCACATTTTTACGAACCTTTTTATAAATCTCTTAAGTAAAAGCCATGTTTTTATACGATAAAGCTACCTATGTTATTTTGATATTTTTTAAAATTAATATTTAAACTAATAAGTTCCTGTTCTAGTTATTACTACTTCATATTTATTTTTAAGTAACCGACCATACTAAAGATGCTGCTATACCTGAGACTGTCTGTATAAGGTTAAAGTTATTTTTTTTAAATTAATAAGTATTTTTTTCTATTTTTTCAAATAAAAGGTAATGAAGATAAAAATTGTATTATTTTCCAAAATAGGAATATATTTTCTAAAAAAGAGTCATATTATGTGCCTAATTTCAGGGTTCTTGAAACTTACTTAAAAAAACAACAATATTTAAAAAAAAGTATAGGTCATTTGAATTGTAAATAAACTACCTATGTGAGCTACAAACTTTAGTTACGTAGCTTCCATAGTTTTGTCATAATCGATAAGGAAAGTATCAAAAAGTCATAAAAGTCTTGTTTTCTCGAAAGAAACGTTTTTGTGTTATGACACTTTTTTTGCCGGGAAGCAATATGTGATCAGGATAAATAAATATGTTTGGATCTTTCTAAAGGTTTAATAATAGGCCGTTTGTAACATTTATGGCGTGATCGTCTTAGTAGGGACCCTTATTTACGTTGCGTATGTTTAGTAACTTAGTTCTTTTAGGTGTCTTTTGAAAGAATGAATATTCATGAATCTAGAGCTATTTATTTAGCTTTTATAGTTTTAAAGAAGAATGCTTTTTAAGCTAAGTGAATCCCGTTCACGTAGACAGGGCTCGAGAAAGGTTAAGAACATAAAAACGTCCTTATTCCTCTTGTATCTGGTTTACATTATTAATTATCCCTTCCCGCTTGGAAAAGGCTCACAATATATTTATTCATAAAATACCCGATACAGGGGTTTCGCTCTCCCACATTTATTAAAAAAAATGTGGGGGAGGCACACGGCTCCACACACGCCATGCGCGGTGAGCACCAACCATTTAATGTGCTCCCCCCAAAGGAACGCTAGGTTGGGAACTGGACCGTAGTCCATAGCAAAATAACTGGCGAACCAGTAAAAGGGAGCTTGGTCCCTTGGTAGCGCCTAAACACAAACATCGACCGAAGTCGCGCATGTGAATGCGTGTAATCGCCATACAGAATACGAACAAATTCAGCCACAGTGAATGTACGTCACACGGTTTAGGCAAATAGGCACACTGGCCGTAAACCCTCCGTGAGCGCCACCACCTGCCAGACCGCCGCTCCTGCAGACGTGATGTAAGTATATGGCGTCACCACTGATTGCATGATCAACACGGCTACTAGCCGCAGAACGTGTCATGAGTCTACCGCTCACCTCAAGGGAATGGGGTCCCAAGTTGTGCGGCTTTCGGCCGCAGTTTTGAGAGTCTCCTCAGATCTTCCCTCCAGCTACCACCCGCATAAGATCGACACATATGCTCCACTTGCCTTCAATCATTAAAGGGTGGGAAAATTACAGAGAGATATTATTATATAAAACATCATGGAGGTCAGACAGTCCGCAGTCCCGTAATGAAGGGACCCGACTTGGGCAAAGCTTCTTAGGTGTGACTCAAACCAAGATGCAGAGAGCGCCATTGAGAATAGCGTCCCACCAAACAACCATCGCAGAGACGCAATGCTGCAGAACGCAACAAGCATCAATACGACTATCGTCGGGCTTACACCGTCCCCAGGTCGCCCATACATCCCAGCAGACATCACCACCCGCATACCTCCATCGACCAGAACCAAAAGAATGTGTCGAATCAGGCGTAGCACACCCGCAGATCCATCACAAGACGCAATACCGCAAGTGGCAATAAGCATCAATGCAACTATCATATGGATGACACCCCTTCACAACACACCCTCATGATCCCTATCGACTTTGGTAACAATATTTGTATTGTTGTTAACTAAATAATAACGCCAACATATAATAGTAGCACGCTACTAAGATGCCAATGGACAAAACTCCAGGTATCAAAGCGCTGATGCACTAAGACATGAAGTTGAGTATGCTTATTACACTTAAAAGTGCTACCAAACACACTCATCCCAATCCGAAAGATAGAGACGCATCGCTATATGCTACGACGCCGCCCACAAACGGTATGGGTGTGCGATGTCCACGGGAAAGCCGTATTGCTACAAAAAACCCGCTTACCACCGGCGCTAAGATGATAAGTCTAGGACACATCGGTTAGCGAGTCCAAGTTTACCTCGGTCTCAGTTGTTCGTGAAGCAGCATACACTCCACTATAATAATTTTTTTCAAGTACCATTTCTATTTATATAATGCTTTTACTTATTTGAGACCTTCCACATATTTGCTTTATTTCATAGACATTGTGCTACAGTACTTCAAGCAGTCGGGCACCCGACTACCCCATATATAATATGTACGACCTTGGGTATGTGTATCCGGCAGCCCCGCTTTACAAGTCATCTATATACGAACACCCTCCATAACTAAGAATTTTCATAAACGCGAACACACTTCATAACTTAAAAAAAATTCTTTTATACACGAACTCCTTCCATGACTTTCCATGACAATTTTTTAACCAATTTTCCAACACAATTTGAATATTTTATCAAAGTTTTTAATAAATTTATTGATTTTGAAAGACAATATTAAGCCTTTAATTTACTATAATACTTAATGTCTGAAATGTATTTATTTTAATTTTATGTTTATTTATGTATTTTTATTGTTTAATATATTTTTTCTAACATAATTTTTGACAGCTTTATATAGAAATTAATTTTTAATTATTTATAACAATAATGGGCCGTCACAATATGCAGAAGAAACAGCGTTGGTAATAGCACGCAGCCTTGTAAAACACAACGTTAATATACTTGTAATCGGAGCATTCACTGTCTACTACGACCTTGATGCTCCGATCAGCCAGAAAACTGATCATCCAATTGCACAATTTCTCGGGAAGGCCATAGGAAGGAAGCTTCGAGAGAAGCGCTTTGTGCCAAACCCGATTAAAGGCCTTCGTTATGTGCAAACTAACTGCCAAAGCCTTCCATTTGGATTCGAAACTCAATCGCCTGCGCCCTTCGGTGTTTGTAAACTGTCTGCACCATACAGTAGAAAATCCTAGTGTAATGAAAATAAGGATGCGTAGACATAATGAGCTTTATTAGAGGTCTTTCCTTAGTTTGTATATATTTTATAACGTAAAATTGTAACTGTTTTTTTAAAAATTACTTGTAAGATTTTGCTGATTCATAAGAAACCCGTAGGAGAGACTTGAAGCGTTGGCGTAGCTTTCTTGACTTGCAGAAGTACTTAGTGAAGGCTTTGACTCTTTCCCGCTCAAAAACTGACTTCTGAGAGGATCTCTATTCCCAGTCATGGGACGAAAGTAAGCTCCAGCTGTAAATACTAATTACGTATTAATTAAACTAGCATTCATACTTCTAGCTATCTTAAGATTTTTGTGACAAACCTGCTTATTAGCTTACGAGAGTATACGAGTAGGTACGTAACGTAAAGACCTTGCTGGGCTGTGGCGAGAAAGGTGTTCTGCCCCATTCCGCTGCAGCCAAGGTGAAGTCGCGGGGGAAGAGGTGTGCCACTTGCCCTATTCTCCACTAACTCTGAAGGGGCCGCATCGTTGATGCGGTTGTGGTGGGGCCGCGGGGGGAAAGTAGTGATAGTATTGCGAGGCACCGATCTACCTACCCTCCGCGGCCGGAATTTTATTGGCGGCAAAGCTAGGAACCAGATCCGCCGCTGAGGTCAGGAAAGCGGGTGCTTCTGAGCGCTTGTTTTTCCTGGCCTCATGGCTCAGGGGTCCGTTACGCAGGTGGGTGGGTTTTGAGTCTGAATCTGAAGGTGTGTATAAGATCTCAGTGACGGCACTATTTTTATATTTTAATTAATTTTAGTTTATGGGAGTCATGCAATTTTATCTGTGACGCTTCTTAATTAAAAATTAAAATTTATGTTTCCCCAAAGGGAAAACAAAAGAAAAAAAAACTAAAAAAAAGAAAACTAAACTAAATATAGTGTACCTACCTTGTGTAACTTAATACAATACGAAAAGTTTATCTTCATCATAAACTCAACATATTTGATTATCAAACAAATCAAATAATTATTTTATTAATTCTACACTAATTGGTATTTTATAATTTTTGTACAATCTTATGCTGGGGCCATACTAACGAGAAATGCCGTTAATTTGACAATGGCATTAACAATGCCGTTTGCCGTTTGACGATAACTCGAGTGGCGATACATCAAAGAGATTAACGCACGAAATAACGCGTTGAAACGCCGCCGCACGCCACACTACCACTGTTACCAACCCTACTGTTTTAACAGTAGATTTGCTGTTTTCACATTGATTTCAATGTTTTCTGTTTCATTCCTATTTTCTACTGTTTTTCAACTAGCGTTCAGCACCACCTATTACACTGCTATGCAAACATTTTTTGATAACCACTACGTAATAAAACGCAATGACACTAGATGGCAGTATCTTATATGTGTTTGACAATCATATTTTTATGCACGGGGAAATCCCAATTTATGAATGACAGCTACACGCCTATTGTATTGCGTATTGTTTTATAGTCACAACACCTTGAACAGTTTCTTTGAATTGCGGCGTCTATTTAAAAAAAAACAATAATTACAACGTTTTTGATAAAATGAGTAGTGATTCATCGACTGGGAAAAGTCCTCCTAAGAAGAAAAATGTGAAATATGAACAGAAATTCGTAAATTTGTGGTTAAAAGATGATAGGTTCAAAGGCTGGTTAAGGAAAAGCACTAAAGGTGAGACTTATTTCTTTTGTTCTGCGTGTAATTGCGATAGAAAATGTGGTATACACGAACTGTTACGACACAAAGATTCAACAAAACACGCAAAGAATAGTTTGAAATTACAAAAACAACAAAAACTGACATCAATGATTACCTCAGCTTCCAACTCACAAGATACACAAATTATAGCTAAAACGGGTGAAATAAAAATGGCCTGCTTTATTGCTGAGCATAATCTGTTTTTTAACATAGCATCTCATTTGAATAAATTGATTTGCGCTGTATGTCCAGATTCGAAAATTGCGGAACAATTATCAATGAGCCGCACAAAAGCTAGAGCTATTATTGTTAATGTAACGGGGCAGACAGCAGAAGAAAATTTATAATAGAGATGTTACAGAACAATTGTTTTGCATTACTTGTTGACGAAAGCACAGATAAGTCTATGATAAAACATTTAGCGCTTGTCGTAAGAATAGTAAAATTAGATTTCAGCGTTAAAGATAGATTTCTGACTTTAATACCAATCGGAGATGGTACAACAGCGTTGTATGGCAAAATAGTAGAATATTTTGTTGAAAAAAATATTCCTTACAAATCAAACATCATAGGCTTTGCTTCTGATGGCGCTAACGTTATGTTTGGAGATAAACATTCATTGGTCACTTTGTTTAAAAATGACATACCTCACCTTTTTACTATGAAGTGCATTTGTCATTCTTTTAACCTTTGCACATCATACGCATGTGAGAAATTGCCAAGGGGCGTGGAAGATTTCTGTAGAGACGTATATAATCATATACAAAATTCTCCAAAACGTATTGGAGATTTCAAAACATTTCAAGCGTTCACAAATATTAAATCACACAAATTGCTCCACCCTAGCCAAACCAGATGGTTGTCACTTATTGAGGTAGTAAATAGGCTTCTGGAACAATTACCAGCTATAAAATTGTATTTTCAGGCTACGGTTCGTAATAGATTACTTTCTGCGCAATCAATTCTCTCCAAGGCTCTCGAACCGACAACTGAATTGTACCTGGAGTTTTTGAAATTTGCGTTACCTATATTTACCGATTTCAATAAAGAAATGCAATCCGAGACTCCGAAATTATATTTACTATACGACAAAATACTGACCGCATACACAACTATCTTGGAATGCTTTGTACAAACTAAATATTTGAATATCACTCAACAAGAAAAAAATAAAGCACAAAATATTTTAGACGCAAAGGGAACTAAAATATTAAACCTCGACTTCTTGAGTGAGCAGAATCATTTACCGTTGTAACATATATACGTTGGTGGAATGGTGCCAAATCTGATCAGAAGAAAGAGAGAAATAGGAGAACTAGAGGAAGAACAGCTGAAAAATTTTTACTTAAAGTGTAAGGAGTTTTATATGGAGGCTGCAAAACAGTAATTAAAAAGGTTTCCTTTTGACGACAAAGACCGTCAAGCATTAAAATGTCTGTAGATGCTAAATCATGCAGCAATTCTGGATCCTGAAATAAAAAAGAAATTCCCTTCCGTTACACATTTACATTATTTCTTCTCAAAGATTTGTCCAAATAATATAACGGAACTGAATAAAGAATGGCGAATGTTAAGAAATCGTTCGATTTTTCTTACAACCAAATAAAAACTCCCGATATTATCGACTTTTGGAAACATGTAGGTACAAGAATTTAGAAATGGAGACGAATCTCAAACATTCCCTACATTGTGTGAATTGGTAAAAAAGCTTTTGTGCCTACCACATAGCAGCACCGCCGTGGAAAGGTTTTTTTCTGCTATAAATATTATGAAAACCAAATTACGCAACAGAATATCGACTACAGCTATTAAATGAGTATTACACACTAAATCCGAAGTAACCGATTGCTATTGATTTGAAGCCACAGAAAGGCACATGAAGAAATTCAACAAAAATATGTATGATTTTAAAAATAAAAATGAGTGTGAAAATATTTAATATGAGGCAATTTAAAATGAAACTGAAAAATAATTTTACTTTTATTTTTGTTTTTTTTTTTGTGATTATACGTATATCAATGTATATGAGCAAAATTATGAAATCTGCCTTTTTTTTCTTTACCTACTGCTTTCTACTGTTTTTTAGGCGAGTTGTTGTTTTTTAGTTTTTTAAGGTTGGCAACACTGCACACTACATTTGCCTCACTGTGCACCATAGATAAATAAATATGTAGCAAGCTACTGTGCACGATGAGCAACAGCGTTGCACGTATGGTTATAATGGAGCGGAATAATAAAAAAGTTATTGCGTTTCTCGAGATTTTGCAAACAGAGCCATGTTTGTGTGATCTGAGACTCAAAAGTTGTAAGAATCGTACATCGCAAAATGATGCTTTGCGACGACTTATCCAATTATTATCTACTACTATCGAAGAATTAGAAAGACGAAGGGGAGTCTGATGGGTTTTTATAGAACCATTTTTAACAAATATAAAAAGTCTACAAGGAACATTAACGCCTACTTTAACCAATTTATGGACTCTTGTCTAAAATAAAGATTATTATTATCATTATTTTTATTTATATTTTCTACGTTTTCTCAGTTTGTTTTTAACAAAACTGGATTAATGGTTATTACCACGGGACATAGCCAAGTGGATACCATGAACTTGTTTGGTTATGGGTAGTTTTCTCTAGAGATAAATTTTCTAACTATTCTACAAGTATTAAGTAAAACTGCTTTTTGCAATTGAATAGGTATATGTTAGTTTTGGTAAATCTAAAGTTTTTAATGATTGATGAAGCGCTTTTGGTATTACACCAGTTGTAGAGAGGACTATAGGGACTATAATGGCGTTATGCAAATTCCACATTCTAATAATTTCATGTTTTAATTCAGTGTACTTGGAAATTTTTTCATTAATTGTTGTCTGTAAGTTATGTGAGTTAGGTATAGCAATGTCAATAATAAGAGCACATTTATTCGCTTTATCTATTAATGTTATATCCGGTCTATTAAAGTGTATTGTTTTGTCAGTAAGTATAGCTCTGTCAAAATACATTTTGTGAGTGGTATTTTCAAGGACTATTTCTGGTTTATATTTATAGTATACTTGAGTTGGCTGGTCAGTTAATTTATACTTAAAGGCAAGTTTTTGGTGAATGATATTGGCTACTTGATCATGCCGATACTTATAGTCCGTCTGAACAATCGCTTTACAGGCACCAGTGATGTGTTGAATTGTTTCTGAAGCATTACAACAGCGTCTACATCTGTCGGTATGTAAATTTTTTATTTTAATATTATGCTTTTGGTAATTACGTGTCTCTATGATTTAGTCCTGAATTGCGCACATAAAACCCTCAGTCTCAGGGAAAATCTCATCACGTTGAAGCCATTTGTTCGACGCTAATTTGTGTACGGTAGGTTGGTTCAAATCATGGCGATGTCTTCCATGTAGAGACTTTTGGGTCCATGTGTCAATTTTTGTGTTGTTATCTGTAAGTAACTCATTTTTTGCAATGTTTTATCATGCATATTAAGCGGTGTCAATTTATGATCATTCTGTACTATGGCATTGTGTAGTGATGATATTGCTGTTTTATCATAAAAGTAATTTCTGAGTGTAGTTATTTGTCTGTTATGTAAGTTAACTATGTCTATTACCCCTCTTCCTCCTTCATTTCGTGGCAATGTTAGTCTACAAAGACTCTACATACTCTAAATACTCTCTCATACTCTAAAGACTCTACATACAAATGTATGATCTTGGATGGTGTTTACAGTGCCTCGTAAGAAATGTATTTATTTCGCGTTGTAGCTTTTTTAGTTTAGTTTTGGATCAGTGTATTATGCCAAAGGAATAAGTTAGTATGGGAATTGCAAATATATTAATAGCTTTAAATATATTTTTAGAATTTAATTGAGATGTTAATACTAAGCGAAGTCTATATCGAAACTGATCTGTTAATGTATTTTTAATTTATTTGTGATGTATTTGTTTAGACTGATTATATCCTAAATACTTATACACTCCATTTTCCTCTAAAGATTTGATTTGATGTCCTGTTTTCAACTGATAGTTATGTTCATAATACTGTCCAGCTCTTACTGAATTAATGTTGCACTTATATTCCAATTCCAATATCTCGTGAAATTTTTTCCGTTAATATAACTAATTGATCTAATTCATCTTGAGTAGTAGCATATAGCTTTAGATCGTCCATATACAAAAGATGACTAAATTTTTTTTCTTCTTTGTTAGTATGTAGATGATCTTGTGTTGTATGGTATTGTAAAGAGTACCCTATGTTTTTTGAGTTTAACATTTGTGATAAGGGGTTTATTGCAAAGGCAGAACCAGAGAGGACTAAGTGCATCCCCTTGAAAAATACCTCTTCTTATTGCAATAATATCTGTTTCTATCATATCATCTAGTGAGTTAATTTTAAGTTTTGTTGTCCAATTGGTCATCGCAGCCTGTAAAAATTGTATTATGTTTGGGTGTATTTTGTATATTTCTAAAATTTTTAATAACCAAGTGTGCGGTATTGAGTCATAAGCTTTCTTATAAACAATATACATGCTAAATAAATCATTTCTTTTTGATTGTACCTGCTTTAATACTACTGCATCTATTGTGAGCTGTTCTTTGCAACCCTGACTAAATTTCCTACAACCTTTTTGTTCTTCTGACAATATGTTATTAGCTTCTATGTGTTCATAAATGGTTTCGGTTAAGCAAGATGTAATTATTTTGTACAATGTTTGTAAACATGTGATAGGTCTATATTTTGCAGGATTGTCTAGATTACTAGGCTCTTTTGGTATCATATACGATATTCTTGCATATAGAAAGTCTGAGTATTCAGGATGTGCAACGTGCCTTAAAAAAGTTAAAACCAAAAAGGTCCGCAGGACCGGATGGTATTCCACCATATATTCTCAGGGACTGCCGTTTCGTGTTAACTAAGCCGTTAATGCACATATATTCCAAATGTCTGGACAATGCTGTTTTTCACTTTTTGTTGCTGGAAAACCATACGGGTCGTTCCGGTTCCTAAAGGAAAAGTAGGGTACACGAATATCGACCTGTGGCCGTGCTTTCATCTGCAGCTAAAGCGTTAGAGTCGGTCATGTGTGACAAAATATTCGTGCAGGTGAATCAGCAGCTCTCGGAAGCACAGCATGGGTTTCGCCCAATGAAAAGTACTACTAGCAACCTTCTTAGCTACATGGCTGAAGTTGTGTCCGCAGTGGATAGGGGGGGTGCAGGTCGATGCCGCCTACTTTGACTTTAAAAAAGCGTTTGACTTAGTGGATAACGACGTCTTACTAAAAAAGTTAGCGGCAGTTGGCTTCACTCCACATTTATTAAAATTATTTGCCGGCTATATTACAGGTAGA